TCACGCCCCCCCCAGCCCCGGGGCCTGTCCCGGCCCCCGGTTGCTCCGGGCCCGGGTGTGTCTCAGCGCCGCGGTCCCACAGGCCCCGGGATCCGCTCTTCGGCGGCGCGGCGTGGGACGAGGATGATGATGATGAGGAGGACGGCCCGTCCCTGGCGCAGCCCCCCCAGGACTTCTTCGGCTTCGGCTTCGGTCCCGGCGGGTCCCGCGGCGCCTTCGAGGAGCTGTTCCGCGACATGGGCGAGCTCCTGGGCGTCTTCGGGGGGGCCTGGGCCGGGCCCCCGCAGCCCTTGGGTGGGGAAGGGAAGGGGTCGTCCCTGCCGGAGCTGCGCGGGGCCCCGGGGGGGCTCGATGCGGAGCCCCGCGGGGGGCCCGGCCTGACCCGACCCCGTTTTGCTCCCCAGAGCCCCCCCTGCCCGCTCCCGGCGAGGGGCGGCCGCTGCGGGACTCCATGCTGAAGCACCCGGACAGCCCTGCTCCCGGCGCGGTCCCGGGAGGTCCCGGTGACCCGGCCCGGCCCTGGAGACCCTTCCCGGGGGTGGGTGAGGGCTCTGTCTCCCGTGGGCTCGGCTCTGGCGGCCGTCGGAGCCCGCCGGTGTGGTGTCACACTGTCCCTCCCCGTCACCGCTGCCTGACTTTGCTTTGCAGTTGGAGGACGCTCACCCGGGGCCTCCGGACGTCAAGGAAGACCAAGGTGGGTGCCGGGTGTGGGGCAGGGAGTCTCTGCCTCCCCTGCTCCTGCCTGCGCTGCCGCAGTCCCCACGGTGACGCTGCTGTCACCATCTCCCCCCCAGACCTGGACTCCCAAGTCTCCTCTGGGGGGTTGGGGACCATCCTGAGACCCGATGAGCCCAAGTCCCACTCCTACTTCCAGAGTGTCTCTGTCACCAAAGTGACTCTCCCTGACGGGGTGAGTGTCCCCCGTCACACGGCCGGGGGCTGCGGGTGACCTGGGGACACCGTCCCCGGTGTGAGGAGCAGAGCCCGCGCTGGTGGCGTCTCTCAGGGCTCGTTGCTCTGCACAGGCGGTGGAGGAGCGTCGGACCGTGCAGGACAGCCAGGGCCGGCGGGAGACGACGGTGACGCGCCGGAGGGGGGACCAGGCCTTCATCACCACCACCAAGGAGGACGGGCAGAGCAAGGACTACCGGGAGGAGGTGGTCAATATGGATGACCGTGAGTGGGGCACTGAGGGGGGCGAGGGGAATGGGCTGGGTCCCCCCTGAGTGAGCTCTCCCCGCTCTCCCAGGGGAGCTGGCCCAGTTCGCGGGCACGTGGCCACGGCAAGACGAGCTCCGCGCTCCCAACCTGAGCGATCCCTCGTCCCTGCTGGGCACCTTCTTCCGACGCTGGTTCTCAGGCTGGTAGCTGTGCCCCACCCCGGCTGAGCACCCCGTACGTGTGATAGATGTGGGGCAGGGGAACCCCGGGGCTTCACAGGGCCGTGGGGACAGACACCGGCTTGGGGGCCTTGGCTGCCGGCTCCCTCTGGGGTGGGCGATGGGCAGCAGCCTCTTCTCACTGCCTTTTTTTCTTGCAGATGGGTCAGATCCTGCTGGGAGCTGGTACCCACGCCGGGGGGCATGTCTGCCCATCTTCTGGGGCGCTGCGGGGAGCCCTGTGGGGGCCGAGTGCGTGTGTGCGTGTGTACAGAGCAATAAAAATCTATTTATGCTAACAGCGACGTGCCAGGCTCCTTCAGGCTCCAAGGCCAAGGCAGGGACCCGCGTGGCTTCCTGGGGGGCTGGCCCCGTGCCCGTGCTGCTCCTCTCCCGTTCCCCGGCGCTGGGCTAACGCCTCCCCTGGGCTGCTCTCGAGGGCCCGGCCTGGAGCCTTTCCAAAGCCTCTTCATTAGAGCTGCCTGCGGTTGTGGCTTGGGCAGGGATGTGACAGGGAAAAGGGGGTTCCCTGGGGGCGGGAATTGCCGGTGACAGCTCACCTGAGCGAGGTCTTGGGTCCCCGTGGCCACTCGGGGGTCGTCGGGGGCTCCCCCCCGGCCTGGTCCACCATCGTCACGAGGCGCTGCTGTCCCCGGCCACACATGGGACTCTGGTCCCTGCCAGGCGTCTCCCTCCCGTGTGGCCCTGGGTTGGTTTAAAGTCTGCGTGTTATCACCCACCCCAGCCCCGGGGCTCATAAAACATCGGAGCCACTGGTGCTGCTGTCCTGCTGCCCGTTCCTGCTGTCACCGCTGCCCGTTCCCGGCCGGCCCCATGGGCTCCCCTTCCCTCTTGGAGAGAGCCCAGGCTCTGCTCCGCGTCCGGAACCAGCTGGCACGGGAATGCCTGGCCGAGCTGCTGGCCATCTTTGTGCTCATCGTGAGTGGGGCGTGCAGGAGGGCCGGGGCTGGATGTGGGGCGGTGGGGGCACTGGGGGTCCCGGGGCTCCCCTTGCTGGGGGTTAGGGGGGTTTGGGGCTGCACAGCGCTTGCCAAGTGGCTTGGCACTGCCCGGCTGCCCGCTTGGCCCCGGTTTCGGCAGCGTGGCCCCTGGCGCAGCAGCTCCGGCGGAGTCAGGGCACAGGCGCTGCCACGCGACACCTGAGGGAGCGGTGCCAGGCAGCACCAGCCTCGCCACCTCCTGCCCTGCAGCAGGCAAAGGTTGGGGCTCCGGAGCCATGCCAGGTGTTTGGGTGCATCCCGTGATGGGGAATGGTGACACCACGGCCAGGCTGGTGGCACCCCCTCCCTTGCCATCTCCTCGGGGAAGCAGATTCCTTAATTGCTGTGATTTGTTTACCTGCTGTCAAAACCACAAGTGAGACCAGTAACGGCTCCCCTGCCTGTCCCTGTCGAACCGCGGAGCCAGTGCAGGCGGCGGCACCGGAGCAGCCCTTGGCCTCGCTGGGATCGGTGCTGATCCCACCGGCAGCGCGGTGGGGCCGCGGCCCTTGGGGAGCAGGGGGGGCTCGGCAAGGGGGGGCCGTAGTGGAGCCCTTGTCCTTCTTCTGCAGCTGATCACCCTGAGCGGCTCGGCACAGATGGTCACCACCTCTGAGACAAAAGGGAACTTCCTCAGCGCCTACCTGGCGGGCGCCCTGGCCGTCATGGTGGCCGTCTACACAGCGGGGGGAGTCTCAGGTGAGGCTGGGGAGGGGGTCCCAGCTCCCGCTGTCCCCCGACTCCGGATCCCCCAGGACCCTCCGCTCCCAGCCCTGCTCCCTTGCAGGGGCCCACCTGAACCCGGCGTTCTCCCTCGCCATGTGCCTGCTGGAGCAGTTTCCCTGGTGGAAGTTTCCCATCTTCGTGGCCGTGCAGACCTTCGGCGCTTTCATCTCCTCCGCAGCCGTCTACGCCGTCCACTACGGTACGGGGAGGTGGGTGGGCACCCGGCGGGGGGGACACCGGGGTGGCCGGGCTCACGGGAGGCTTCTGCTCCGCAGACGCCATCTGGCACTACAGCAACGGGACCCTCACCACCTCCGGCCCCCGGGAAACCGCCTCCATCTTTGCCACGTACCCCGCTGACTACGTCTCCATCACCAATGGCTTCGTGGACCAGGTGGGTGCCGGTGTCGGCTGCACCCGGACCCCTCCCGGTGGAGCCGGTCCCTGCGGTGCTGAGCTGCCACGAACGGCCCCGCAGGTGATAGGCACAGCCGTGCTGATCGTGGGCCTCCTGGCCATCATGGACACCCGCAACAAGGCTGTCCCCAAGGGCCTGGAGCCGGTGGTGGTGGCCCTGCTGGTGTTGTCCATCGAGGTCTCCATGGGTTCCAACTGTGGCTGCCCCATGAACCCCGCACGGGATTTCGGGCCCCGGCTCTTCACCTATGTGGCGGGTTGGGGCGCGGAGGTCTTCAGGTGGGTAGAGGGAAGGGGGCGAGATGGGGGTTGACAGGGGTGACCCCCTGCCCACCGTGCCCCGTCCCCAGCAGGGGCAATGGCTGGTGGTGGGTGCCGGTGGTGGCCCCGCTGCTGGGGTCCGTTGTGGGCTTTGCCGTTTACCAGCTCTTCGTGGCTTTACACCACCCGCCGGAGGATGGAGCCCCCCGGGATGAACAGAACTCCTTGTTTTTTGTCGGCACCGCCCTCACCGAGATGTCACCTGGGGAGAAGGACACTGGGGGGATTCTGCCCCCAAAGAAGTGATGCCAGGGATGGCCCCAGTCCCCTGTCC